TATTAATTAGTAATATTACGCTACCGGGGGCACTCTTACCCTTTCCCCTTTTTGTGCAGTCAGGCTTTTTACCATTTCAGGCTACCGTCATGTGATACTACGATCTATTGGAAATCGGAATCTCGGCCCAATTTCGTTGTTTGTACATTTCGACATTTTCTACTATGTGAAAAAGACTCAGATCTGTGGGTACACTTTTACATTCGACTTACCGTAGAAGCCAAATTGCTAGCTCTGATCGATGGGGTCATTTAGCGTTACACAGTGGACTGATGGATCCATTCTCCAGCGAAAGAAAGGATGAGACACTGTCACAAGCTCTGCGATATCCCTTTATGAAACAGGACGACGTAGAGGAAGAAAACGTGAGTTTTAGTATTTTCAGCCATGAAAGGTATGAAACAAGAAAGCATTCTTGCCAATAAAAGTTGACGTCTGCACAAAACGGATTATAGCTTATCAAAATAGGTCCTAACTAGCACGCTACGGAACGAGGGTACTTCGGCGCCACCTTACGGTCTGATTCATTTTCAGGATGATTATCGGCAAGCAATCGTTGGCACGACTAGGAGGCGTAGTGATGACGTAGACCAGCCCACTCCTCCAGTTTCTCCGGCGGCCGATACGTTCACGCTGAAGATGGCTAGGTAAGATTAACATTTTAAGACTCTACGTCTAGGAAACCAATAGATTCTAGTAGTAGGACCCATAGAATGACAACTTGGGCGACATTCCAGGAAATCGCCGTCTAGAAATAGTTTGTGCCTTCTATATTATGGATGGGAGCAGACCATGTAGGCGGTGTGGCAAGGGTGCTCTCTACCAAGTTTGCGGTCCAGGGGTTAAGTGTCGGTTAAGATTAAGTTAGGGTTGCGGAGCTTCTCATCCCTATGGTCACTTGATTGCTACCAGGTCTGTCTGAGAAAATGGGAAACTGCACATGACACCCCCACAGACCTTTGCGCAGTGCGAATCACATTGAAAGGCGCCGCTGCTAAACTGTAAGAAAGTAGCACCCCAGAGATCGGTCAAGGCCGAGTCTTCTGAGAACTGTTAGCACCGGAAGCACCGGTATTAGTTCTGGGGGCATTGAACGTGGCTCCTTACAAAAGTTGGAATAACCGCCATCCAAGCAGAATGTATGTACGAATTGTTTCACCTCACCCCATCGCTTCTTGGATCTTTGGACTGAAAAGAAGTCCTGTTCTCTACTACGGTAGATCTAGTTTTGCACAAGAAGTCCTTCCAAAAACATTCCCGCGGTTAAGCAATTCGTAGGCGTCCTCCATCTGCATGTAGACTGATCCTTAGTAGTGGAATTATCCAACTTTCGCCGCTCCACAGTAGGTAGGGAAGTGCTGTTAGCAGTTCTGACGCCTCCCAGTTGCCCCGCTCACTGGAACTCAGAGAGTATTTTCTATCACGGGCCCAGATATTGATCCTTCTTTTTCGTTTTTTGTTTTCTCTGTTCGTTCGTATTAATGTTTCATGAGAAACGGTTGGTGAACCATAGGCGGCAAAATACCGTTCTGCGGGCATAAAACTAGCAGATCGGGAGAACTCGTCCAAGAGGCTGCCAGGTCTTTACTTAGGGTGTTCTCCATCATTTTTGCTTTTTTCTTCCCTGGAGAGTCAGTAAGCTACCATAGATTCGTAAGACAGCACTATGCCCACGATATGTTATAATCACGGGGTTTGTCCTTAAGGCAGTGGGCGCGATGGCTAAGGGCGGGCAGTCCTGGCAACGCCATTGGTGAAAGGGCTGAGTAGACGTGGCCGAACGCCTTCTTGCTTCCACCAATGAACCGCTACCGCTCGTTCCTAGCCAACGTACCCACTGCCTTTGGAGACCTCCAAACTATTAAACTGCATTCAACTTGGCCTCGACAATGGCGCCATTGAAGGAATGTCACTTACGCTCATATTCCCATCAAGAAACAATTATTTCAAGTAAGAATTATTGCTTCATGTGTGTCGAGTCAACTATTCAGCAAAATTAGCTAATTTGTTTGCGCCGCCGCGTTCAATATGTTTGCAGTGTAAATGTATTGTGGTTTGTTTAGTAATTCGTTTGGTTATGTAGTGATCAGTCAGTCAGGGGCGGTGCGAGGAGGCGGGATGAGGCCGCTTCCTGCTGTCTTGCTCTGCAAATGGTGATCGGCTAGCGATCGATTCAGGATGAAAACAACCAGTGGTGGAAACCGAAGGTGGGAGTTAGTACACCTCTAGAAACGACCCTGACCTGATCGCCACGATATCAACAGCGCCGTCCCACGCAGGGACGCCATACGTTGAGGATTACTAGCGATAGGAGTGGTGTTTGGTCATTGGAGGAAACGACGCGCCGTATAAATTGCTTGCTGGAGAAATATCGTTTTCGACTGCTGAGTTCGTATACCTGTATTTCCCGTTTGCGTGCGGTACCATAGTACACCACCAGCCTGAACCGTATGGGCAGCTTTTTTGGGAAAAACTGAGGAGGTTCTTGGACTGAGCCGGCTGGAGGGTGGAGGAGAGGGAAGGAGGGGTCTTTGGAAGGATTTTAAAGGAGTCGTTTTTTTCCGGGAATTTTGCCGCCAACCTGTTCTCTCGCGCAACACCCGACGTGCAGCGGGCGCGGCAACAAATTACTTTTTTGAACAAGTTTCCGAAATGCCGAGAGTAGACTGAGAATCAAAATGAGTTGCTTTCAGGAAAATCGAAAAACTTCGTAAATATTTCAAATCATGATGGCTAATGGCGAAACTGCTGTGCGAGCTACCGATACTAGCTGATTTTACCGCCTGCGTTCGATGATACAGAGCAGTTAAATCAGTCATTTATGTAAATTATTACGTGTTGTACATAGATTTGTAGATAATGACCCCTTGTATGTACGTGTGGTACCTGATTAAATGAAGAAATAGACGGAAGAGGGTGATTTATTGTATTTATATGGAAGGAAACACTGAGTTTTGATTTTTCCTACCTTGTTTTTTGTTCTCATGTCATCGTTACACGTAAAACTGGTATTCATGGTACTTGTCGATAAATGCGTCCAACTGAAAATGAACGGGCAAGTATTATTTTCTTACCATTAGACTTTATACTATACACGCTGCCAGAATGTTGAGTGGCAGAAATTAAAATAATCGATGGTGGTCTAAGTGGTTGCTTCAGTATCACTCGGACACTTATCCAGAAATACTGATATTCGTGCAATGCCATCAGACACGGTGATCTTCCAGCTGAACATGTCCTAATGGTGTTACATGACCAGAGAACCCAATTGTCAGACGCTTCTTATTCTTTGAGCGTATTGTCTCGCTCCGTAGCGGATGTGCCGGTCTCTATGAGAGTGAGGGCGCCTAAATCTATACGATTAAATGTCGGACTAGAATTCCTACTTATCTTGAAAGTCAGTATAGCCTAGCGCTTCGGGCCAACGCTCGCTTGGGAACTCTGCTTGGCCGGCTACGAAAAATATCCTTCTTGCCAAGAAAAAATCGCATTCGTTTTCGCCGATTTTTCATCTTATTACTGGTTGACATAATGACGATAAAGAGGCGAAAAGTAAACATTGTGTATGTATGTATAATTTATTGCCTGCTCGTGAAAGACAAACACATCAGCGGAAAGCACTAATTGATGAAAGACTCGTATAAATACTGAATAACCTCATATGTACAAGCAGGAACCTTATTTCATGGCAGCATCTTCTGGGGTAACAACCTTTCCCTGTCAGTCGATCAACAGTAGCCTTCACGACTTCTCATCGAGCGGCCCTTTGCTCATTCAGCGATCGGCTGCTGGCACTCCGAATGATCTGTTCTGGCCTGCTCACCTCCGAATTCGACAAGCGCTGCTCACTCTGGGCGCACTCATTTCAGTGATGCTTATCCGGAATAAATGAAGTGTCGCAATGTGAAACACTGCGGTCTTGATTGGTGAACGGCGGGACGTCTCCACTGGGTTTGATTGGTTCCGCTCTTGCTGATACATAGAATTTTGATCGGAATAGCAGCTACTGCCAAAGAGTTCGAAATTAATGAGAAAGCGCGCCAGCAAATGAGAAAGGCCATAGGGAGCAGTATGTTCTAACAAGAAGGGAATAGTTCCGTTTTCACCTCTACCTAAGCTACTATTAATAGTTTGTCGATTCATGCGAGGCTTGCCAGCCGGTGGGACTGACAAAATAATGGGACGAATAAAAGGTGTGATGAGAAAGCGTATGAAAATTATTACCACTTGATAGATATAGGAAGAAGTATTAAATTTGTTGAGCATAGGTAAAAGGGTAATCCGAGGTTCAAATAAGAGAGAATGGAGCATGAAATACTCCATTCTTTATTTCTCTATTTTACTCCTAGGAATGAACAACTTCAAAAGCGGTGTCCACTGCGTGTTGCTTGGTACAGAGAGATCTTTTAGGCTTTTCCAAGCTTGACATAATTCGGTTAACTAATTCTTTGACTCTTTCAAAGGTCATTGTGTGTGTTACATTTACGACCTATGAATTTGTTCCTACAAAAGCACCTTATTTTCAAGTGTTCCCGCGTATACCAAAGGGCACATATTCTCAAGCAATATACTGCTATCTTAATGGAGAAATGTCATAACTTCAGGATCTATAACACCCGTTTCATCGTAAAGCGTAGTGTTGATTGTTCTGCCATAAATAGACTCGTATACCTGACTGCCTATGCTTCATGCAGGAAAAGCAACCTCAACTTTCCGCCTACCCAAGAATAGCAAGGCACATGTAGAGTGGCAAAGTGGCATCTAGAAGTCAGCGGGAGCTACCTACGAGGCACTGCAAAGGGGCGAAATCGGTCCGTAGCGTCAGTAATGGAATCTGTTGCACCCGGACAGATCTTCTACCTAGAAAATGTTCATGAGTTTTTTCAACTTCGCAGTTTTGGACTGACAACCAAAGGCTCCACCTCATGTCGTGATATTGTAATATCTTCATGGACAAACCCTTATCTTGCCATCTCGCCCTGGGCAGTAAGTCTGGAAGCACTCTTCAAGTTCAGTACGCTCATTCACTAGGAGCTCCAGAAAAGGTCATCCTCGAGGACAGCAAACTACTCTGAGCGTTCCCTCGAGCAACAGTCCCACAGTCATCTGAGACGACTCGGGCTATTCTATGTTGTTCTGGGCAAATAAGAATGTGGATTGTTGTAACCGTTACCGTTTCGAAAACGTCAGGGGATCACAGCTCAGCGTATCTGCCACAATAGCCGGTAGTGAGATGCGGTTCATGACTTCGAGGCGGCAATATTTGCTGCTTGGGACCCCATGCACGGGACAACCATGAGAAGCGTCCTCATGAGCATGCCGGATGAAATGACCAAACAACAACTAAACAGAATTATGTGGAAGTTACCAGTCTATAATCTCCGAGAAATCTTCCTTCTTTTGAGTGTCCACATACTATTGGTCCACATACTATTGGTACAAAGAAATTTTTTTGCAGTAATAGGAAAATATGAAGTCAACCACAAGATGCACCGAAGGGAGTATACTGAGGCTTCCCCCGGAAAACTGAATAGTAAAGATCCCATTTTGCGAACGTCCAAGGAGTTCTTATAGAGTAGAGTCAAAGTTTGCATGTAGATATACCATTGTTACGCACTGTGGTACGGTACGTTATTAGCGAGTAAAAGTAGTGATAACCTTGCAAGGCAGCCCTCGATAGACGGGTTCAAACTCAATTTCGATTTCGATTCAGAAAGCGCTTGTTAGAGTCTAAAAACATTCGCTTGCAAATGATTTTTTTTTCAGATGTGAGGTTGTTGTCGACACCGAAGTAGATGTGATCTATTCTCATTGTTTACTATTTTATGAACTTGTTGGCTAGCTTATGTTTCATTGAGTCCAGGGCACATTGGTGGGCTTATTATGATTTGCATTTTTTCCTCATGTAAAGCTTCATGTTAACATTTTGTGCGCTTATCAGCTTCATCAACTCGAAGGGACGAGCAAGGGCGCATAAAAAATCCATCAGGAGAGCTGATGAGGCTGCTGATCCCGAGTGGTACGGTCGATTACAAGTGTTACTTCAATATTACTACTTCAATAAAAGTTGGTTCTCGACCCCGCGTGGAACACGAAGGTAACTCTGAGCATTCGTCGCATCGGCGAACGAAAATAGGTCAGCTTCACCATTTCCTTCCACTTTTTTTAAAGCTGCATTGGAGAATCACCTCTACCTTCCTTCTCTCTCTCACTATACTACAAGTGCTTCGCTGCGAGCTCTATCTAAAGTTGCGATCTGTTGCCTGTTACCAGCATTCCCACAAAATTGTCATAACAGCTGCCCACGCCGAAGCGTTTGTTGACTTGTTATTCAAAAAGGTTGTCTACAGTAGTAGATGGATTCAAAGGAGAGCAGTTGGTATAGAGGATCTTGTGATCCCCATTTGTTAGCTCTGTCACTCGCTCAAAGACAGCCCCGCGCTCAAGTAGTACATGGTCGTCCTTCCTTGTGCAAGTAGTGCAGCCCCCAAGCTAGAGACTGTCCCACTCTCGCGACTCCACAGTGAGCGAGGAGCGAGCTACAGCCGCTGAAAGTTCTAGTTCTAACGCCCGCCCAGTTGGACCGCCCACTTGCTAGATGCCCTCTGACGGAGGGCCGCTCAGTTGTTCTTTGTTTTGTTGGAGCGGCGGGCATTAATTGGAACTGCATGTACTTTTTGCTGACCACGCTCGTGCCCATGAATAATTCTGCTCTCCTTTATTACATTTTATTCATTAGGAGCACATGCAGCCAACTGCAACCCATCTCGCAAGGAAACGCGTAAAAATCACGAGTGATGCGAGTTCGACATGCACTAAAATATTGACGCTATCGCAACCCCAAATTCGGACGCCGAGTTTTTAATTTTCTTTTCAAGTGTTTTTCGTCCGTGTTTTTGTTGTTTTTCGTATTATTTTCTTTGCATTGGATGATATCCACTACTGGGAGATGCGATAAAGCGATTTGTGAGCCAGGGGTTGCACAGAGACCGCAGGGCGGTGTGACTGTCAGGGAGCGATTTTGTTTATGGTGTTCTTGAGGGCTCTTCTTGCTTTTTTTCTTCTTTGGGGAATTACTTATCAGCTACTGTTTCATAATTGAACAGCAACTACCATGACACTTTTATCGCTGACCGTTATCATTAGGCTGATCACTTATGGAATTTTACATTATTGTCACATAGAGAACCTAGTTTTAGAAACATTGAGTTTATCATATTTATATCTTACATTCCTCGGCGAGCCGCCCATTTAGACTGAATAAAATGGGCTCGCTGAGATCGGTTGTCAACTGTTTAATTCATATTTTTTATGTCTGTATATTCATAGAATACAGTTTAAGTGCCCAAGTTTGAGGTGTCAACGAACCACCGACACAGCTGGAACATCTCACTACTTCGGCACAGAGGGAGATGAAAGAGATAGACGGCGATACAGAAGCTCGAGGAATTGGTGCATAGAGAGGAAGGGCAACCAGGAAAATACGAGGACTTCAGGACTGCGCTAAATAGCTTGAAGGTATAGAGAAGATGCCTCAAAAGGCAGAATAAGGCTTCCAAACCTATGAAAATGGCGCTAAACAGGCCATGA